CATTTTCAAACCTCTCTTCTGTCTCCAGCTCATCCTTGAACTCCAGCCCAACCTGATTCCTTTTACCCTGCATCTCTATCACACACAAACACACCTGCACACAAAATAGCCAGACATTGTCTGGTATTGTTAGGGTGTAATTTAATTAGAATGTTTGCGCCTGTTTATTGACTTAACATAATTGCTGATAGGAGGATCTTACAGTGATTTACACCTTTTTTGCTTTAGTTCCTACACAGTGCTTTCTCCCCTTGAGGCCGACAGAAACTAGGAAACCCAGCAGTCCACACACATAGCACAATAACAGAAAAGCATAGACACACTGATGTTCCTGGACTAAACCTGATGTAATTAATCTTTTTTTTTTGGTACAGAGAAAGAGCAGCCTCTAGTGGTGAAACATATGAATTTCCTCCTACTTTCCTTCTACCACCTGGTTAGTTATGCTTTTCATTATATATATCATTGCAGAAATGTAAGACTTTTGATTCTACACACACACACACACAATAACATCTCCCTCCCATAGTTTTTTTTTCTGTTTGTTTTATAAGTGGCCACTGGTTCATAGTTGCCAACTCATATCTGTTATAATAATTTTATGATTAGCAAAAGTGCTTTTTATTTGATTAAACTTTCCCTTTCCGTGCATTAAACTCTAAGCCTTAAGCCATCAGCTGCAGCCTAAGTTATTTGTTTGATATTACAGAATTTAATTGTTTGTGCTTTCAAAAACAGAGTTCCTGTTCAATATGCAAGCATTTGTTTTTGTTTTTTTTTGTCTGAACTGTTTATTTGGAAGTTAAAAATAATAGAAACATTGAATATAACATCTAAACTGCCTTCTGTAAATGAGCTACTTCCTCATTCAGCCTCGACCTGAAAAGGTTACACATGCTCAGACAGTTGATCCAGAACAGAGACTTTGATAATCAGAATATGGCCTTTGTAAGCCTGGCATCAAGGGTTTCCATGTATATTCAATACTCATTTCCTCTGGGAATTAGTGGGTTTCTGTTAGTGCTTGCATCAGTCCATAAAGGCAGCTTCTAAATGAGTGAAAGAGAGCATAATGCATGGCTTACGGTTTGCTGAAACAGTTTCTTAATTGTTAGGGGAACTGTTTGAAGTCAGGAGGTTTAGTCATCTCTGGAACCTACTGTAATAATGACTCTATAATTCATTTTCTGAACTGATTAATTGGCTGTACCATGATTTGTGAATGCCAGTGTGTGCTATTTCAAACGTGCACAGTAGGCTTATAATGAGTTCTCATGTTCATTACTGGTATTTGGGTTTGCAGTAGATATTAAATTCATATTTGGTAGATGACAATCAGAATTTTTAAACAGTGTGAAGGAAAAAATGAAGGAGCCCAGTGGTGGATGTGATTATACAATAGAAGCCACTAGTAAAAAGTACCATTAACATATATTGTTGCTGAGCTGAGTCTTGAGGTTGTAGATAATGAACAGAGATGGTCTGGAATGTCAGTGTCATTGAGACATAGTGAGCATGGTGTAAAGCATCTGGTGTGTGCTGCTGTGTGCAGATGAGCTTTCTACAATTACCCTGGACAATGTTTAGTTAAGTATCACTCAATATCAGGTACACGGTCACAAACTCAGATAAATATAGATATTCAAACATATGCGTGAACACACTTGTTCCCACACATATAAAATGAAGTGACTTGTATATAGCCCTCAAGCATATTGTAGACTCAGACAGATGCACACTCGGGTACACGCAGAGGAGCACAAAGGCATCTTTCTAAATTGACTTGTAGATAGCTCTCATCAGTTCCTATCAACAGAATGCCTGTGATTTTGGGGGAGGGAGCAGGTATAGATTGAAGAGTGAATAAGAGATGGGAGAATACAGGATGCAGAAAGCAAACCAGAAAGGTTGTCTGGGGACTACACTGAGCAAACTGTGAACAACTGACATTGACACCTGGCTGTGAAATACAACAAAAAAAGCTATTTGCATGTGAGACCAAATCTTCAGTGTGCTTTAATAATCAGATGTATCTCTTCTGTGTTTGAATTGAAATAGTGCACACAGAGGGCAAGAGACATGGAGACTGAGAGGAAGGGAACAGATAAGTAAGAAATAGTGAGAGCTTTGATATATATGCATGACCTGGTGTTGAATATTTGTATTCATGACATAATTTTAATATACAGCAGGCAGTACAGCTTGGGTTCTGGAGATTCTCATTCAAATGGGAAGAGTTTGCCACTTGTAGACACAGGTAGAGTAGGAGGCCTGTTTGGCCAGGAGGGAGCCCGGTGTCCACTGCCCTTAACGACCACACATGGGCACTGAATAAAACCTGAGTAAATACACAAGCTTGTTGGCATTGCCCCGGCACATCCAGACTCATGTACTGTTGTCTGGTGTATAGGATGCTGTTGAGCATGATAAGGCAGCGTGGGTGTGTGCATGTGAGGTCGAAGTAAGCTTGCTTGGTAACATAATTGGATAGGTGCCGGTACAGAGTATAGATCTAACCACTAATCAGTTTTGATTGAGAATAGTCAAATCTGCTTTAAAAATGGATCTTGGAATCAAATTTTACATGAGGCAAATTAATTCCTTAGATTAAGTAACCCAATAATATCAACCTAATAATAAATAATGATAATTTAAGTTTCATTAGTGGGCCAGTGCACACTTTAGCAATGTAAATGCAATCATTAATGTTATTTATTACGCCTGCGTTAAACAAGTCAGAATGTCTGTTGTCAGGTCTGCTGCTTGTTAAGCCGAGTCACTCTTGTCAGTTTAACAAATGTTAGTTTGTCACTTCAAGGTGAGATAAGTTAGCCATGGCCAGCTAGCAGCTAAATCATATTGTTACCATTAGTGTAAGACGGAGATGATCTTTCTTGAAAGACAAGCAATGAGCTCATCTTGTTAACCACAGTGGTCTCTTTGGGTTGTGGTGGTACAGATAGATGTCTCTTCCTCTAATGAGCTGTCAGCAGAATAGATGCTTGAAGCTCTTACCAACACAAACACACATACACAGTCCAAGGAACTGTGGTCTAATCAAAACCAGATAAACAGAAATCTTCAGGACTGACGCTTTGGCCATTCTGAATTTGATGTTTAACCACTGCAAAAAGGGACAGATGTGGCAACAGTCTCCACATGCTTTAGATGATTTTTTGTTTGTTTTCCTTGAGGGTAGAAGAATAAGATGAGGTACTTCTCTTAAATTCAGTTTTTTTTTTTAGTTTTTTGAGCATCTCTGCAGTGAACTATGAGGTACATCACACTCTAATGGGCTACTGTACGTCTGTCAGCCCTAGAATGGAGACTGGTTGTTACGAAGCAAAGTGGCTAAAGAAAAATAACTCCTTGCAGGTGTCAAGGACAGTCCACATCTGGGTTTGAAAATCCATGGAGCTACGTATCATCTCGGTCCACACACTCCCAAGTTTCTTTGAGTCTCAGCGTGAAGCTGGCTGATTTAATTTAGCAATCAATATATTTTCTGTGAGTATAAGCCGCAGTAATCTTTTTACAGCACCTCTTCTCTCCCTCTCCCCTCTTATCCTCTGCCCTTGAGTCAATCCTTCCACCCCTTCATTGTAACACTTAGGCTGTGATTGCGTCTAACAGGCTTTGTGGTTAGAGGAAGCAGAAAGAGAGACAGAATGAGTGGAAAGGGATGAAAAATTGATATCAAGAAGAGTGAAGCTACCTCACCTCCAAGTCTCCATGGCACAAGGTCGTTCCTCTGAGACTTGGTCCCATAAAAATGGATTATGTGAAATAGGTTGCTGCTTGGCGTGCTCTCCAAATGCAGCAGGAAAACTCATCTTTGTGACAGAAAATGAACCACAGATGCTTTGGATCAACCAGAATGGTCTATCTACTGAACAAAAGTGGAGCTTAACATACTACAGAGATTTATTTTGTAAGTGATTTGTCCACTGGGACATATCATGAAGTTGTAAATAGATGGATAAATGAATAAAATAGTAGGAAAACGGGTTTAGAGCTAAAATTGTATTCAAACATATCAGCACTGTGCGCAATTATGGGTGTTTCTGTTACCTCTCAGTATGACACAGTGTGTAGGTTTTCTTTTTCTACCTTTCACTCCCACAGTTTACAGTTCCTTTCTCATTATCATTCATTCTTGTACTTATCGTCTCCAGCAGAGAGAAACAGAGATTCCAAGGGGTCTGTTCTTATCTTTGCCTGCAACTTTCTGTTCTGCCCTTGAACCAGGGGCATGACTGTTTTCTTTATTCCACTACCAAGCATTATAGTCTCACATACTCAAATATTTAGCTATTTTACCCATGTTTTTGTTCTTTACACAACTCTTTAATTATATTGGATGAAACAAATTACCTTGATGACAAGGTAGGAAACAGTATGCTCATCTTGATGTAGCTAGATAGATAGATAGATAGATAGATAGAAATACTTTATTAATCCCAATCTGGGAAATTGCATTGTTTCAGCAGCGGTTCACACTCAATATCAAGCACACATACCAATAAATAGAATAGATAACCCACTAAAATATAAAACAAATAAAAATACATTAAAAGTTAAAAACAAACCCAACACAATCACGTACATATACATAATCACATGTTAAATATTTTATCAGTAATTATAAGCAAAAAGTGAACCCAACATCATCTTTCTAACCTCGGTGAAGCAGAGGGGACTGAATAAATATAAGCACATAAATCATTATCATAGAGAAACCTGCAAGAGATAAACAGTGAAGTATCCAAATCCCTGTGTCTGAATGATTCAGGAGGCCAGCAGCTGGATGGGGCACTGGGACATGCCAGACTTGTAGATATTTATTATGAATTGTGGTTGGGCTGTTTACACGGAATTCAGAATTTGTAGCTGTTACACCACCTGTAGATAAAGTAGAAGTGTGATAGCTCGGTAGTTACTGTGGGTTGTAAGAGTTTGTCACAAATAACAAAATCTCTCTCTCTCTCTCTCTCTCTCAGAGCACACAACTTCATCAAGGATTTCCCTCAGCTAGCTGATGGTCTCATGGTCATCCCCCTACCAGTAGAGGAACAATGTCGTGGGGTCTTGTCAGAGCCCCTGCCCAACCTGCAGCTCCTCACAGGTGAGGGTGTGTCCAGTTTGGGAATATGTGCCTTTTTTAAATGTTTGTCTTCCTAGTTGAGAGCCATTTGATTTACTGTATTTGACAGTGGCAGCCTTATTACCTCTATATGATTTAGTCATTCTGACCAGACTAGAGCCAGTAGGAGAACATAGGCCACATGTTAATCTTTTACAAACTATGTCTATACAAAGTCCCGGCAACATCTCCGTCGCAAGTCAAGAAAAATTAAAGCAAATAGGATGCACCTGAAAACTATGTGGAGTGCCACAGCAATGGGTCTGGACACTTTTAAAAAATAAGATGAAATTTCTTTAAATAAAACTGCAACATTTTCTAGATATACGGTCAGAACGTCAGTTATCATTTTTAAAATTAAATTCACAAAACAATGAAGTGAACGAAGCAGTCCGAACTCTTTCTGAAGCTACGTCATGTGCCCATATAGGACTTTGTAAACTTCAAACCTTAACCTTCCAATTCATCCTCTTATCTTTTCTGACCCATCCTCTGGGTGACAGTGTCACGTAAACATTTGGCCTGAAACTGCACCTCTACCTCTGCTTCCTCCATTAACTGAATTGGCATTTGGTCCACATCGACCCCAGTGAGATTATTTGCCAGGGTTCTGCTTTCATCAGAATTGGACACACATAGAAACTAAATAGCCCTTTTCCATTGTGCATGAGTGTCTCAGGTGTAAAACAGGATCAAGGTTCCTGTAAGCTGTGCTTTTTTTTTTTTTTTTTTTGGTTTGCTCTTCACTTTTGTGACTTTAGTTCTAAACTGGTGTGAAAGTTTGATAATTGAATTGCAGAGAAAGGTGAGATTGCTCCCTCATCTATTGTCAGCAATCCAATTGGAGTTCAAGCTGCACTATATATCAGCCATTGATCTGTGAGCAGCTGGGATATGAGTTGTGATAATAAATGATGTTAAGGTAATAATGGATAACAATTGATCTGCAATAAACTGTTCAAATGAAATGATGAATTTTATTTCAGTTGCTCTTTATGAACCAGAGTTTTGTAATTTGTTTTAAATTGTTGTCATTCTTATATCGCTCCTTCTGTCTTAGTTGGTCACCTTGTTCACTTCTTTTGGTTTTCTTAGGGGATGCCCAATTCAGTGAGGCAGTGGGCTACCCTATGGTTCAACAGTGGAGAGTGCGCAGCAATCTATACAAAGTCAAACTCAGCTCCATTACCTTATCTACAGGTCAGTGTCTGAATAATATGACCTTGTGATCACTGACCATAAATAAGAAACTCATCATCTATACACAGTATCTCGCCATGTATCTACAGCATCACCCTGATTTCCAAGCCACCATTTCCACTCTTACGAGTACAAAATCACTATTCTTCCATCTCCTGCTTGACCTGGTAGGCTTTTCCAAAGTGCTGAAGACGCTGTCAGCAGAGAGTACACGTGAGGAGCTGCTGGCTTTTCTCCA